ATGATCTCGCAATTTAATGCTTGTCACGCAATTTAATGCACAGCAATACGCAATTTAATGCTTACGTTACGCAATTTAATGCCTAGGGTCTTAACCGCCCTCTTATGTTATGCTTCGCAATTTAATGCTACAGCTGATTCGCAATTTGATTTCTGAAACCAAATACTTTGTAATAAATACCGTAATTTAATACCTCGCAATTTAATGCATCCATTTATCACTCTCCGTAATTAAATACACAGGTACTCGCAATTGAATGCACTCATTCTATCCCTCTCGCGTTTTTTTTTTTTTTTTTTTTTTTTTTTTTTTTTTTTTTTTTAATAGCAATTTAAAATAGTGAGTAACTCATCGAATACAAAGAATACTCATACACCTAGGGAAATTAGTTCCAAATGCCTGTACAAAAATACAGGCTATGTTTAAATGATTAATAAGAGGTTACAGTTTTTTTTTTTTTTCTAAAGTTTTAACTAAATGAACGAGACTAATGTCGGTAGTTACCAACTTAAATCCGTACCATATATAAATATTAACCATACTTTACCATAAAATAAGTACAGAGCTATATGACCGAGATTATTGTTTTATGACTTACTTACTGTTGGTAAAGTTTACTCCGTCGTCGCCACTTTGTTGTGTATCTATTTGTGCTGGGAACTAATAACCGATCAATACTTCGAATAATTTGTCACAATAAATATCGGCTCGCTGGCTTGCGCACACGTCTTCACACCACTGTGGTCGGAGCTGAACTGGTGACCACTAGGGTACTACTACCCTCCATATATTGGTGCCCCGCGCGTACGCAGCCGGAGACGACAGTCAACATATATACTTATTTATTTATAATTAATGTATATCTATTTAAGTATATATACTATTTCTGCATATATACTACACTTATTAAATTATGTCTATTTATGTATGTATGTGATTTCTACATATACACTACACCTACTTTGAATTAAATGAAAAAAAATGAGAAATGGTAATAATTTTTAATCTTTTATGAATTGATAAAAGATATACTTTGCTACCAATATATTGTCATTAGTTCCATAAATATAGAACTAATGACAATATCAAGTATATATGTTATCCCTGTACACAATTATTCCTTTTTTTTTAACAGCCTACATAAAATAGCTGTTCAATCAAACAATTCCAAGAGGAAAAAAATTACATCTCTCCCTTCCTGACTCTAAATTTTTAATATCTACTTGCTTACACTCTTGCAATTTTAACCATCATCGCAAGATAACCTTGAGATGAACATTCGTGATCAGTTCGTTTCGGGGTACAGCGAATAAATGCGTTCGCGGCTGTTTGCGTGGAGAAACATAGCTAAAACTCGTTATACGGAGCACTGCACGACGGGCCGCAAACCCGCCGTGGCGCTGTTGGGGCGGTGGATGCGCGGGCGCGTGTAGGCGGCGGAGGCGCGTGCCAAAGACACGCCTCTGCACGTACAGCAACTCGGTGACCCAGTACTAGTTCGGGACTATTCCAAACTAGGAAATAAGTGACGCAATAGTTTTAGAGAGACCCGGCCCCGTGTCGTATATTGTCAATACTGTCGATGGGCGTATACAGAAGCGACACGTTGATCAAATTCTAGGTGATAGTCGGCGCAGCAAGGCACGCGTTTATATAGCACAAATACAGAACTCGACAGTGGAAAATAATCGCGAAACCTATCCGATACCGTCTCGGATTGCGCTAGAAATAAAAATACACCGTTAATTAATAACGAGGCAGTATCGCAGCGTGATCGCTGTGAGGAAGAAGTGAAAGAGAGTCAGGAGAATACGAAACCGGAAGTTCCTATTGTTAGAGCGAGTCGCCCGGCGATGCATAGATGAATTAAATAATATATATATAAGTGGTAAATAATTAATATTGAACTTCAAATTATCACTTATCAAGCCATGTCATCATGTAAACCTTTATGTAAACCTTAATTTTAGTACATTAACCTTCTATAGTGATTTACTCATTAGGCATAAGTCTCTGTTTAAATATTTGAATACAATATAGTACTACTTGTTTACAGAAAATATGTATCTGCAAATTTATACAATATGATGTTAGTTTCTTATATTTTAAGGGGAGACAGTGTTATGTATGTAGGTAGATTTGAAACATTACCGATTTACAATGTAGCGAGTGTTCAAAAAACCAGTCTGTTCTGAATCTTTGAGTATCAGTGTCCTGTGCGTTACATATGTATACAAAAGTATCATCATTAAATAGTCAGAATTAACTTAACCTCAGCGGAACCTTATATCCAACCGCTAAAGTTGTCGAAATTATTGTACAGATGGCCCATTGCGAATGCGAATGCGAATCCATGCGAATCCATTTCCTGAAATCTCAAAACGGACCCTTGTATTTGCAAGCAAATTGCTTGTCGATTCCGAGCTCAGTTGGTGTGTGTAATAATATATTTGTAATCTCAGTGGGGTAGCTCATATGTGTACAATGTACAATTCCAAATATGTAGCGCCGAAATGACTGACAATGTGTCCATGGATGGCGTTATTCAGTTAGCATCAGGTGAACCACCTGCTTGCTTGTTAACTTGCACGTAAAAAACTTATAATTTAATTATTATTGACACATATACCTAAATAATTATGTGTACTGTGTGTAAGTAGGTATGTACTTAAATTTTTAGATTTGGATTTTAATTATGGTAGGGTCACGCACCCCTCCGACCGAGTTCCCGCCTTTCCGTGGCGGAGGGGCTTAGTAGCCGTGGCTTGGTCACCCACGGTGAAGCTAAGAGGAACCCGCACTGACCCGGTCTGTGGTGTAAGGCAGTCCCGAGAGGGCCGCTCCGAGTGGCTCATTGAGCCCACTCTGGATGCGTGCTGGAAGGTGCAAGGGACAGGTCTGAGGTGGTAGATGTGCGAGAAGAGGGTCGGTATTGCGTTGGCCCTATCCTCCGCGACTTGGAGGGGCTGCACCGCTGATGCAGTGGTGGTGGGGCCGCGGGGGAAGAAGAGTGTCGGTATTGTGGTGCGCCGTTCTGTCTACCCTCCGCGGCCGTAGCGTGGTGAGCGACGGAGCCACAGACCAGGTCCGCCGCTTGGGGCTGGGAGGCTTGCTGCTTTTTAGCACTGACTCTCCTGGATCTCATGGCCCCGGTCGGCGAACTTGGGGGAGTTCGTTGGCCGTGAAAATGGGGCCGAGTAGTAAGGCGCGCCTGACCTGGAGGAGTGAGGAGTTGCTCCCGGGGGGGGCTGCTGAGGCGGCCAGCGATGGCAGGGTCGCGGATGTGTGCGAAAGCGTTCCCGTTTATGTATATATTTAATAATTATATGTATAGAATTTATGTTTGTATAAATTATATTTCTATTGAATGTATATACCTTTGGTTTTTGTGTTTTATTTTATATATTTTCTTAAACTTATTTAGTGTGTTTTGTTTTGCATCTGGGTAAAATTTTCTCTACTCCAGGGGCGACGGGGAGAAATGCTTATTAGCATTAAGTTTTCCTTTTGTTTAGCCTTAATTTAAGGTGTATACAATAAATTTTTAAATAAATAAATAAACTTACACGTAATAACTTACCGTCTGAAACTATAATAAAATGAGTTTTCTGAGGTTGCAGAGTTCACTGGCCTTTAGGAATGTAGTAGCAGGCTTATATAAAAACTGACTTCCAAACTCAACTAAAATTTTTAATATTGCACAGGTATTTTAACATATCATTTATGGGATGGGCTCCGTGCCATTATCTATAAAAACGACAAAAAAGTCAAGTCTGTGGTAAGGGAGCCACACCTAGTACCAATGTTTTTATTCTGTTTTTTGCTATTTTATTAGAGTTATTGCGGCAATAGAAATTATCATCTGTGAAAATTTCAACTGTCTAACTATCACGGTTCATGAGATACAAGCCTGGTGACAGAAAGACAGACAGATAATATATATAATCGTAATACAATGTATGTAATGTGTGGTGTATAATATATAATAAAAACGTACAACAAAAAACGTTTTGTTGTTCAAGAAGATTAAATATTCATTAACATTTTAAAAGACCTATTTGAAAACGCAAGGCATATTCTTTAAAGGTTTAATCTCATTTGAATTCTAGCGGAGCCTTGTCGTACTTGCCGTGTGCTAGAGAATACAAACTATGATAATTTTCAACGTACACGTCGGACTACACTGAGTAAAAATAAGGCAACATCTATGAAATAACATTGTATATTTATTGTGTAATTATGGATATCAGTTACTTAGTACCCATATTACAAGCTTTGCTTAGTTTGGGACTAGATAATTTTTAAATATTGTGTAAAAATATGCCCTGATAAAGTGGTATGGCGTCTTAAATGTCATCGTCCCGTTTGATAGTCTTAAACAGTGTATTTGATTTAATTTTAAATAACTTAAGAAGAGTAAAGAAGGTACTTATTATTGCAGCTTGATATTCTTTAATAGAAAGTCTTAGATATAGGAACTTTTCTCTTTAGACGAACTTTTCTCTTTAGACGATCGAAATTCGGCCTTTAAAAGGGGTCCAGAGCGCTCTTACAGACAGTTAAGAAAACAAAAGAAGTAAAGGAAAATTGAAGAAAAAGAAAATTAAGTCAATAGTGAAGTCAATAGTGTAGTGAAAAGTGAAAAAAAGAGGTGTAGAAGTACACGGAGGACGGGTGCGATAACGTGCATGCCGTCGCTCCCGTAGAAGTTTGCATAGAGGATTTTGCTGATTACGAGAGGTCGGGAGACGTGTAAGTAGAGGATAGTGTAAGTGAAGGATTTGTGTGTCGTCATAAGGACCATGGTGCACGTTTTGCACGTTTGTAAAGGGTTCGAAACGTCGGGAATTAACATTAAAAATAAACGCGATAAATCCGTAAAATTAGTTTCATTTATAATGTGTAATCGCGTAAATACAAGAAATTGTCATTGTCATTTCACTTCAACATTCGTCATTTCCGAACCTCTTGCTCACTGGTGTCAGTAGTGGGATTGGAGAATGCTGGTTATGCTGAGGGAACAAAAGAAGGCGTCACTACCCGCACTGCGTTTGTTGGACAGCAGTAACAGGAAGAACACGCTCTTCTTGCAGGTACGATTTCAGCCGATGTATTAGACGCACTGGAGTCGTACAAACACGACAAAAGGAACAAGCGCGTTGCCACGAGGAACAATCATGCCACCAAGAGCAAGCGCGTCCACATATGAAAATTCTACGTGCTCTTGCACCTAATGATGATGAAGAAGGAGCTGTAGGAAAGCGGAGGAACTGTCACACCCAAATTCTCACGCATCAAAATAGTCCACGTCCAAGGTGCCCACTACGAAGAAACTTATCGATGCGGAGTTGGCTACGCATGACTTTCAGAAAAAAGTTTTTAGTGTAAATGCAAATAAACGAAAGATTTGAACATGGGCATTTCAATTGAAACAAGCCTCGCTCACTCATAACAGTGTTATTATACTATTTAATGCAAATAATAGATATAATCTCCCGAGAAATTGAGAGACAGATAAAATAAATTATTATTTCGTATTATCTGTTGGGACATTATAAAAGATTCCTCTGATAAAATAAAAATATCGCCGGTATTTATGGAGCTTGATTGCGAATATCGCAATATGAAATGAAAAGTAAACATTAATTTGATTCGTGATTTAATTAAAACATTTTTTAAATCATGTATTCAATGGGCTTATTTTGAAAACATTTAATGTAAGTTTAAGAACATAATATATTATCAGAATATGTGTAAAATTAGCAGACAGATATTGGATTTAAAAAAAAACTTTTTTCATGACATACTATAACTATCTATGTTAATGACATATGTAAGAAATTAAAAGATACAGTACGATAGTTCAGTAAACCAAAAAGACAATATAAAGCAAAATCAAAGGTTTCAGTTGAGCGCCAAAGCAACAGTTAATAATATGTTATTTGCGTTTTTTATATCATGATGGCGTCTGTGCTAGTTGGCAGTTTATTTTTCATGAAATGACTGTTTTGTGTAATTCTGAACCCAGTAACGCTGTATAGCAACCGTTTTTATCAAAGAGACCTTAAAATAAATTTCATTTACGATCTTCGTTTCGATATTTTAAATGAATAAATACGTTATGTTCAATGTGTGTGACGGTGTCGTCTGTGACGCGTCGGTGATACCCGCATGGTGCAGGTGCGAAGCAAGAAATTCGTAAACAGCACATTGTTGGCAACACTAAAGGAAGTGTAATTCCATGATATATAAATGAAGCTGCACGATACATTTCATGGTCTTCTTTGGTTGTCAACAAGAAGTACACGTGATAGTGCTGTCCAATGGGTGTCACAAATTAAATCGTTAAAGTTGTGATACTACTTGTGGTCTATGTTGCAGCGCATACGACAAGCGAGGGGAAGTCGCGGGCGCATGCTACACGCACCCCATTCTCATAGTAGCATCTTAGCATCTTATATTGCGCCCGGTTCGAAAGCAATGCCATTCGTACCGAGGTACGAACTGCATGCATGTACGGAGTACCGGTATTTATTATAATAAATGTTCTTCTATAATATATATATATGTATATATATATATATATATATATATATATATATATATAATTCTTCTTCTTTACTGAATCAGTGCCTGTGTTATTGTCGTGCAAAGTAAAACTAAGGTGATTTGATAATATATTTCTACCTTCTTAACTCGATAAAACAAAGTAAAGCTAACAACATGTACTGATGATGTCTCCGGACGCGTCTTTAACTTCCTCCATCAACCTACATAAAATCGTTAAAATCGTATGCTGAAGTGTTATTTCGATAATTTAAAATAGTGTAATACTGCAACAACAACATCAGAAATGAAATGTGACTATACGCTTCCACAAGGACGTTTGACGATTGGCGTGCGTGCCTACTTACATTCGAGCTTTGTTGACATGTATCGGTTTCTTTTTTTATAATTATGGAGGTCAGAGTCCGTTTGAGATATTATTTTTATTAATCTTTAATAACAATACTGAGGAAGTTCATTAAGTTAGCCTGGGAAAGGTCACAAGATACAATAGGTTTCTTTTGTGACCTTTCAAAAGCCGACTGGGTAGAATACAAAACTCTCTTCCAAAAGCTAGATTATTATGGCATTCGTGGCATCGCCCATAATTTCATTGCCTCTTACCCTAGTAATAGAATTAAAAAAGTATCTATAAATGGATGTTCCACAAGGATCAATCTTGGGCCTATTATTATTTTTTGTATATATTAATGACTATGACCCCTTTTATGCCTCAGGGTTGTGTGATGTAGTACTGTTTGCTGTCGGTTTGTGCATCGCAAATTTTTAAGTTGACCGAAATGTATTAAATTATGACGACGTGAATAGTGTGCTTTCACATATCCTCCACCAAAAAGATGTATTCTTTTTACCTTTTCCAATATAAGAAGTCCATCCAATATTAATCTAGTTGAGTCTACTGTATTTTTTGGAATTACAGTAGATTCAAAGTAAATCATCCCCATATATCTTCTCTCGCGAATAGGCTAAACTCCGCTGTTTTTATGATTAGAAGGGTTAGGCAGCTAAAAGACATCGACACTGCCAGACTTGTTTACTTCAGTTATTTTCACAGCATCAAATCGTACATTATTTACTATATCTTACTTTTTGTGACACCTTTGTTCTATTTTCATACTTGTTTAAGCATATCACCTGATTGAGAGCAACCGTCTGATAAAGGTAGAGAGTATCCTCCTAATGGAGACATGTGATTGAAGAATATGGTGTTATAGCATCAAAGTTCTTTTTTTTTTTTCGCATTACAAAAACATTATGAGAGTAAAATTTTTATAGTGTGCGCGTATAAAATAATCCCCAAAAACTATACAATGAGATGAAGAATCGTGCACATATTATTATTTAGAAGAAATTTTTCATTTACTTGTGTGGTTTTTTTTAACCAAAATTGACAATTCTAGGGCAACTGGAAGTAAGTATAGATTTGGGTCGAAAATCAATATTTGTATATGCAGGTCGAGTGGTTTGGGAAACGGTTAAATAAAAAAGCTGTTATATGAGGTAGGTAGTTAGTGGAAGCTCTGAACAGTAATTTCGAATAGAACTATTTAAAAACTAAAACTAACTAAAATTGTTGATTGTTTGTACATTCCCGCTGAGATTGCAAAAATACAATTATGCACGCCAAGTGTACACGGAATCTGCAAGCAATTGCAGAAGCAAAGCATTGCAAATATAAGGGGATCACGGAAAACGGCGTCTAGGCAATAGTGCAATTGTTTCTACGTGCACTAACCTCGAATCAATGTAATGATAATTAATAATAATCAATACATATAAAGATTCCTCTTGAATCACTCTATCTAGTAAAAAAAACAAGATCCGTTGCGTATTGTTGCAGATCTAAGCACACATAGGTACAGATAAACAGCTGGACGGACGACTTTCTTTCATACTATGTAGTGAAGGGAAAACTTGCTAGAGAAGAAAAGCCATTATGTGCGGCCCCCACCCAAGTACCCGGTAGTCCTTATATTCCAGATCAGTCACGTTATAATGGTAGGCCAAGATTGCTATGAATCCCCAGTAAGCAGGCCACCATAATACCCATTTTGATCATAGCCGTGATAGCTCACTGTCCGGGCGCTCGGTTTTAATTCTTCACTTGTGCAACCTGCTTTCGACCCTGGTACCGGTACCAAAGACATTGTTAATTTTAAGTGCTGAATTATCACGTATTCAGCGGTGAAGGAAAACATCATGAGGAAACCTGCAAATTTTCGAAATAATATAACCAAGAAAATATTTCGACGGTATATGAAGTCCGCCAATCCGCAGTAAGGTCGTGTGATGGACTACGCCCTAATACCCAATGTACAGAGGAGCCCTTTGCCCAGCAGTGAGACATATGTATAATACTGGCTATTACTTTACTTTTTTACGGTTACATTGAACATAATTTTATTACGAAGAAACGTGTTAAATAACAAGGTTTTTATACATCCTTTGGTGCGTTTTGGAAAAAAATAAGACAGTAAAAATTTTTACGACGAGTTCACACACTGACAGCCAAAAAGAGACAGAGTGAAGATGGGATGCAAAGCGACCAACGTAAGTGTCGTATTATTACCATGGCCCAATTTTATGACATCACTACATAGTACTAAACAAAGTCGTCCCACTGTCTGTCGCAACGTCCCTTTTTTTTTATGATATGCTTTCAAGAGGAAGATTTAAAACTACGCAACGGATCTAGATGCGTTTTTTTTTTTTATTTTCCAAAACATATTGATTGGTAACAGGGATAGAGTGATTCAAGAGGAATAATTTACGTGTGTATAATACATTATTTTATTTTTTTATGAAAAGTACCCGTGCGAACAAGCCGGGGCGGGTTTATGCTAGTTTACCTATAATTCCAAGTTATCATAAATACCGTTATCTAAACAATTGTAAAAATTAAAAATATAACTGAATTTTTTTATTCAGAGGCAATTTATGACATTATTTTTAAAAGATAATTCATTTCATTATATATATTTTGACATAACAAAAAATTCATACATACGTAAACAAATACAAAACTTATACAAATATTCAAATGTATCATATCTTTTGAACCCTGCAAATACACAATATGTACAAAAGTGTAGTTCAGTTATATTATATATTTCATGTCTCAAATCCTATTAGTTTCGCCGAACTATGATTAAGATTTTAATTATATCTATATTCTTCTTAGATAGTGGTACTTATTTTGAAATTATAGATAAACGCTTTAATTTATTAGTAACCACCAATAATATCATTGTGTAGACATAAGATTGCTAAGAATTTCATGTAGGTTTGAAATATAAATATATCTTGAAACGACACAACGATTAACTATGGTACCTAATAGAAATAATTTAAATCTGTACTATTATCTTTATTCATGGGCAATTAAAGATATATTATATATATAATCGGACGGTAAATTTCGGAGAAAAAAATGTTATAATAACTCGGTCGGTAATCGGACGGCCCCGAAACGGAAGGCTGCGGTTCGTGTCACGATCATTTACACTTACTTATTTTTTTTTTTTTTTACTTTTTTCTGTACCAGATCATTACTTTCTTTATTTTTTTAATTTCCAAAATATACGATTTACCAAGAAAAAACAGAGCAAAGTTCGGTCCTCCAGGTACTATTATACTAAAGCATAAAATGACGACTGTGTCAAGAGATTTTTTTTCTCCGATTTAATTTCTCATATTCAAAGCTATGACTTGAGACAAAAATGAACGACGATCGTAGTAAATGTAATATTTTGATAACCAAAATAAATTTTTTGAAACTTATTTTTACACTAACGATTATGAAAAAAAATTCACTTTGAAATATAACTAAGCGTCTGAGTTGATTTGATTATTCTATCAGACAGACTGCGCCAGACAAATGAATTTACCGCACCGGGTAGGAGGAGACTGGTAACTATGGTTACTGTTGTAAGAGCAAAGTTGAAAGGGAGGGGCATATTCGAAAGATTATCTCTCTGAAAATTGAATTTAAAATAACTGTGATAATGATCCTTAACTAAAAGTAAACGCAAACCATAAGTAATAAATGCCTAAAATTTTGTAGATTGCCTGATTGATATACACGTCCGAATTATATAACCTCCTCCATTCTCCTTTTGAAAATACTCCCTGATAAAATTTCTGATCAGTATTTCTAAAGTACACAAGCTTAATATTCGGTAATAAATAACATAAATTTTACACGCACAATATACATACGAGTATAACTCTGCCGTCTCATTACCATGCTTCCACTAGGACAGAGAACCGGAACAATACAATATATTTAACTGAAAGCGTAAGTAACGACCATCGTTTGTCTTCATTACCTCGAATCTTCATCTCGGAGGATATCTGTATACTAGATTTGCAAATATATTGGTTCTTACTATATACCTAATAAGCCACATCAAATTCATCAGTAATTTGAGAGATGTTGAGGCCTTCCCAATGCAAATGATGGTTCGTTACCTTTCCTCAGCAACTAGCTTTCGCATTATGTGGGTTACAAACTTATAAATCATGGAATTTGAGCACAGGTCAACGTAAGGCGATCGATCAGTACGGAAAACAAGGCAAAAGATTAATAAGTAAATCATAAAAGTCTAAATAAATAGCAGAGGCTGGCAAAACTTAATACTTAACCTTAAACAAAGACAGTGGTTATAAGAAAACTCAAGGATGTAGAGCAGAACACGACTAATTTTTTTTTACTATTATCCCTTCGTTTGCATAACATTGTAAGAAGGAACGGAGTTTGTCTGGTTGCAAGAAAAAATGCAATTTTTATGTCGAATATCGCGAAGGGCCTTGACTTTACGTAACAGTTAAGAAATTTATGTATTTAATTGATATTTGTGACTTGGTTACTTGTACATCCGTGCTAGCTCATTGTCCGTGCGCTTGCTTTTAATTCAATATACTCGAATAACCTGAGTTGGATCCCCTGAATTAATGCCGGCATCACTGAAATTGTCAATTTTAAATGCTGTCTCATCACGTGCTGAGCTGTAAAGGAAAACATCGTAAGGAAAACCTTGCATGTCTTCAAAATAGTAATAACAAAAAAAAACTTTTTGAAGATATGTGAAGTCCGCCAATTCGCAGTCGGGTTGCCTAGTAGACGATAATCTAATACCCTCTATACAGAGGAGGCTTTTGCCCAACAGTGGGACATATGGTACTTTACTTTTTTACTTTTACTTGTTAATGCTATTTTATTGGCACGTTTTTATCTTATGGGAAATGTATAGTGTTTATGTGTGGTTAGTGCATAAGTTTATATAAATCTTTCAAAATCTTTCAAAAGTTTTATCATTAATTGTTTTATTATTAATAAAACAATTAATGATAAAACTAAATAAATTAATATGTATATAAATAGCTAAGCTCTGTATTTTTTGTCGACGGCAAATTTAATGAAATATTGTTAATTTGCCATATATTAAACTTGTGTCTTCATATCTAGAAAATTAAATGATGTAAAAAGTGACAGAAATATTAGGGGTATGTAGTGGCCAAATGGATGTTGAATCCGCTAGTCTTACACTTAACTAGGGGATGCAGACTCCAGGCTTCGTGTTATTATTCTTCCGGGCAACTAATTTTTCATGGCGTTGATCGTATGTTAGCAATGCGGTATCAACGAATTTTTAAGAAAATAAATACACCTAGGGTTAATCCAACTTTATTAATTTTTAAGTAAGTTCAGTTTAATTCTTGCG